TGGACTAAGCATATCGGACAGGAATATCACAAATGTGCTACAAGGATATCGTGGACCACATGCTAATGGAAGTAGTGGTGATAGTGGAAAATTAGATCCAAGCCATGGCTTACAGGAAATAAAATATTGGTGGGGAGTATCAAAACATATGAATTGGGTACCTGTTGCTGGTTGGATAGTATATGGAGTAGCTAGAGCTGCAGGTGATACTAATTGGCATAGCATATATTTTGATAGCAACACAGGAGAATGTTTAAGTCATGATAAAAACATAGCTGCATCAAAGCTTGATAGTAAAGGTCATGACTTATTTAAACAAGGTAAATATTTTGAAGCTGCTGAGTATCATAAAAATGCTTATTATTCATGTACCTCTGGATATACAAATGAACAAAGTTTTAAAAATAATTGGTACAATGCTGAAGCAGCAAGATTAAATCAAGAAGGTGATAAGCTCAAGTCGGAAAAAAAATATGATCAGGCTATAGATAAATATCAACAAGCTTATGATAAATGTCCAGATATTGAAGGTATTTTCAGGAATAATCGTAAAATTTATCAAGACAATAAAGCAGCTACAGAAAAGGCTGAAAAACTAGAAATAGCTGAAAAACTTTGCATAGAAGGATGTGAGCTACATAACGAGAAGAAACAATTTGCTGAGGCTACTATCAAGTTTAAACAGGCATACGATACATGCCCAGATGATCATGCTAACAAAGAAACTTATAAAAAGAACCTTGATCTTGCAAATGCCCAGCAGACTAAACTAGAAGTAGCTGAGAAACTTTGCATAGAAGGATGTGAGCTACATAACGAGAAGAAGCAATTTGCTGAGGCTGCTATCAAGTTTAAACAGGCATATGATACATGCCCAGATGATCATGCTAACAAAGAAACTTATAAAAAGAACCTTGATCTTGCAAATGCCCAGCAGGTTAAAGTAGAAGCAGCGAGAAAAGCAGCTGCAGAAAAGGCTAGGCAAGAAGCTGAACAGAAAGATAAAATGAAACAAAAAATGGACAAGGAGTATGTTGAACAGAAAGCTAAAGAAGTTGAATCAAAATTAGCACAAAAGAATGCTGTTAAAGAAGCAGCTAGAAACGTTGCAGAAGCTAGAAAAATAGCTGAACAAAAAACTAGAGAAAAAGAAGAAGCAGCCAAAACAGCAGAGCAAGCTAAGGTAGTGGTGGCAAATGCTCTAAACGAAAAAATGCGAGTAGAAACCATAAATTTATTCAACGCCTTTATTAATGGTAATGCATCAACAGATATACTATCTTTGCATAATCAATTAAGTACGCTGATAGATATCTATCCTGAAGATTCTGAAATAGTTAATAGATTGCTTGTTATATCCTTAAGGGGAGCAAGGAATGAAATGAAAGCACAATTAGAAGATCATGATCAGCAAAATATGGGAAATTTAAAATCTGCAATTCTAGAGTTAATAGACAATGAATTAGAGATTCTTGGAAAATTAAGTATTGAAGGGAAAGAACGGGAGATAGAAAAACTGGAGAAAGAATTAGATGAATTAGAACAAGAACTGGAAAATATGGATAATCCAGAGAATTTGGATGAGGTAAATATTTATGGAATTGCAGCTAGGGTTGAAAATGTAGAAGAACAAATAGAGGTAATGGTTAACGAAACACTAGCACAGGATTCTCATTTAGAGAGGGGAAATAGTACAACATTAAGAGAGCCATTAATTGCTCTAATAGTTGAGACCTATTCTGTTGCAGGAATGGATGAGATTTTGCAATTAAGGATCACATCGTTGAAAGAAAAGGGTTTAAAGTCGATTAAATTATTGCCATCTTATATTATAAATGTTGGAAATGGTAGTTTTAGTCTCTATGACATAACAAAACAACTAGCAGATCTAAGTAATGTAGAGGGAATAACAATAATGCCATTATTAATTCCATTTTCACATAATAATATAAATGGTAAACCTGTTATGCACTGGGTTGGCTTAATAAGTGAAAGAAATGTGGATGGAAGTTATATAGTTAGTTATTTAGATTCCGAGAATACTTGTATAGATGACTTAAATGAAATTGTTGTTAGTGCCTATGCAGTGGTTCATCCTGGTTGCCAGGTAAACTTTAAACAAATTAAAGTGGAGCAGCAAAGATATAATAATTGCGGACCTGAATTAATTGAAAATATTGTATCATATGTTACTGGTTCAAGGCTGAGCCAAGAGACAGTACTTTATGTCCATTCATTATTATGGGAACAAAGTTTGATACTGAATGATATTAGTTCTATTAAAAACGGGGTACAGAACCAAATACCGGAAGAAGCAACAAAAAAAGGATCGGTGAATGTAACAACCATGGTAGCTGATATGATAACAAAGGATGCTGATACGGCATCTTCGTTTGATGGTATACAGCCAAACAGTAGTATTGGTGGTTCTTGGACACAGCAGTTTGAGAAAGATGTTGTTTTATCAGGAGAGGAGTTATAACCTAAAATTTTGTAGTCCATATTATTTAGGTTGTGCTCAGAGTCTTATCAAACCTAAGTACCTATATTAAATATGGATTTGACTTTAAATCCATATTTACCTAACAGAAGAATTTACAAGGGAGAAGTATAACATGAAAAAACAAGTACACACTGATGATAAAACAGGGAAAGAAGATCAGTCATCACACCTCAACCAAGAAATAAAGAGTTCGTTGCAAGGTTTGGCGCCTTATCAATTTATCTTTACTGGCTCTAGTAGGCTAAAACCAGAACAAACCACTGGAAAAATTGTTATTAAACTCAATGATAAAAGAACAAAATTATGCCGAGTAATACTAGGTCAAGCTGAAGTTGAAATTGACCGTGACTCCAATATTTTGAGTCCAGAAATTTACGACTATATTAGAAATAAACTACAGGACACGAGAACTGCAATTCCTGAAGAACAGTATGATGAAAAATTTCTATCTGCCAAACAACAAATTCTTGCTTCTTTAATTAGAGAAAAGAAATTAGAGGATAGAGGTGGTTTTCTAGCTTCTTTTAGTAAATTTATCGAAGCACTGCCGAAAATATCTGACAGGTTTATGGAGAACCGTAGTAAACTTGAGCAAATTAATTTTGATGATTGGGACATTGAAGAGAGCGATGAAAATGATCCTAGATGTAAGTATCTAGAGGATAGACATAAAGAAATGTTAGATTCTTTCGAGGAATATAAGAAACAAGGCGAACAATATATTAAAGCAAGAGAACAAGTTTTAAGTAGTTCGAGTACAGACGCTAAAGGAAGGGTAGAAACTCAAGATTTTGCTGCAATGATGACTGACGAAGAAGGAAATATATTCACTGTAGTACCAATGCCGAAAGATAGTAATTGCTTTTACTCTGCTGTTGCAGACCAACTCAGAAGACTTAACATAAGGGAGGAATACAATGATGGTCAAGAAGAGACGGGAAGTTATGATACTAATCAAGATTTAAGAACATTAGCTCTAGATTATATAAATGCAAACAGAGAAGAAAAATTTGGTACAGAACTAGCAAAACGATTACAAGATCGAGAGCCAAATGGATTACAGGGCAATTTACCAGAAAATATACACACTATTGATGAATATGTTGCCCTTCATAGGAAAAAAGAGCTTTTGGCAGATAGTGGTATGATCGATGCGTTAGCACATGCATTAGGTATTACTTTAAGAATATATAGAGATGGTATTCCTAAAGCATATAATAATGAGCAAGAAAAACAGTATACGATCAATCTACAACATACAGGAAATTATTATGATTCGCTAGTGACTAGGCTACCGTTCGAACTACTACCATTCGAAGCTTCTTATCCCAAAGAAAGTTATAAAATCAAGAGGGTATTTGAAATACTTGATAACCTTGAAAGAGGAGAGAAGTTAGATAAGCAACTAGAATTAATTGGTAGGAGATTAGTATTATCCACACAAGCTATAGAGAAGTTAAAAAGCTATTTTAATGCTAGTCGTATAAGTAAAAGTAAGATGCACAAAGTAATTGAAGTAGATGATGGTGGATACTGGTACACTGATGAGGATATGAATTCATATGCTAAGAGTTTACAAAAGTATGGTGTAAATCTTGAGACTCAGTTTTCAAATAGGCTTACCGAAGATTTAGTCAAGACTTTACCGCCTAAAGAATCCCTAACAGAGAACGAACCTAGATATATTTGTTATAATATAGGTGGGAGCTCAGATAAAGATTATAGTGGGATACATTGGGTGGGTCTCGTTTTGGTTAAACACCAGGAGAGAATTACAATATTATATAAGGATCCTAAAGGGGATTTTAATCATAGCTCTGAAAATGTTGAGAAGGCATTTAGAGAACATTATCAAGAAAGCACAGGACAAGATAATATAGAATTTATCAAACATGCACGAGCCGAACAAACAGATGATTCTAGTTGTGGTCCGATGACTATAAATAATCTGGAGATTATGGCAAAGAAAGTTAAAGAGGCTAATGCAGCTGGTGGTAACGGTATAGCTGAACTGATTAGTGCATTTAAAGGTGAATCTAGTGGTATAGAGTTTACTTCCCAAGAGCAGGTTAGTAGTGTAAGAGTATCACATTTACTCCAAAAAAGCTCTGAGCGTGATTTTAATTCTGTGCAGGATCAAGATATCGATGGCCTCGATATCATAACAACAAAACTAAGGTTGATTAAAGATAACATATCAGGGATGGACATAGATACTGAAAAAGGAAAAACGACAGCAGGTTTAGCAGATAAAGAAGAAATAGCAAATTACGTTCGTATGGTCGATAAGAGCTATGAGCACATTAAGGAATGGGATTCAGCACAGATAAAAAATTGGTCCAAGGAACATAAAGGAAAATTAAGTAAGAATTTTAGTGATAGTGAGAAATCAGCTAAGGAAATATGCGAAGCAATCGCGGTAATGGATAGGGCAAATGAACTTGCAACTGGTGGCCATAGACTTCGAGATACACAAAAAGTTGCAACCGTAATTTTTATGCAAACGAATCAACAAGGGCACATTAGTCAAATAAACACGGGAGAAGGTAAAACCACAATAGTCTGTCTTATACAAGCATTAAAAGTAATGCAAGGGTATAATGGGCATGTAATAACTAGTAACAACGTACTTGCAGCCGATGGAGTAAAAGATAAACAATTATTCTATCAGATATTAAATATTACTGCTGCTCATAACAACCCGGATGAAAAGTATACGAACGGACCAAGGGAATGTTATAGTAAAGATGTAGTATACGGCAGTATTAACAATTTTCAATTTGACTGGCTAAGAGATTCATTCGAGCAATTGAAGACTTTAGGCGATACGAACTTTGATAATAGCTGGGTCATGTTAGATGAAATTGACAGTTTATTAATAGACCAGGGTGGTAATATCGCTAAATTGTCAGGTCCATTCCCTGGAATGGAGAGTCTACGTTATATCTATATAAACATCTGGGTTGAGTTAGCAAAAGCTGAAGAAGAAGTCACGCAAGAGATATTGCAAGCACTAGAAAAGAAGGCTCAGGAGATTATGGGACGGCAATCTGCAGAGCAAGATAGTCCTGAGGCTCAAGCAGAACTCGAGTTAAAGAATCAACGAGAATTTGAAGATTACGAAGATGAATTGAGAAAATCGTTTTTAGATAAAGTTAAAGAGAAGATCAAAGCTAAAAAGAATGATTTAATAAACAAAAAGCTATTAGCAAGTCATTTACATCAATATACCGAAGATAGTGTGGAGCGATGGATAGAATATGCATTCAGTGCAAAATATCAATATAGCGAAAATGTGGAATACAAAATGGCTAAGGGCCAAGATGGTGAAAATATTATAATTCCTGTAGACAATCAGAATACCGGCGTTTCGATGCAAAACACTATATTGTCTAATGGGTTACATCAATTTTTACAAATAAAGCACAATTTATGTTTAACATATGAAAGTTTAACTAGCTGCTATGTGTCAAATTTAGATTATATTAAAAAATACGGTACTAAGCTATCTGGTGTCACTGGAACTCTGGGATCAGATGCCGAAAGGGGATTACTTGGATCAGTATTTAATTTGGGATTTTCAGTAATGCCTCCTTTTAAACCTAAGCAATTTATCTCCTTCTCAGGCAAAGTATCTAAAGACGAGGATTTTATTAATGATGTATCGGTTGCTGCTTTGAGCGAACTCACTAGAACCAGAATGAAAAGTAATGTAGAAGGAGAATCAAAAGCAGAAGGTAAGCAAGTCGAGGTAGGAGCACCAAGAGCAGTATTAATAGTATGTGCAAGTATTTTAGAGGTTAAAAAGATAGCCGAAGAAATAAAGAGAGAGGCTACGGCAGCTGGGTTAAGCCCTAAAATTCGTATATATACCGATGAAATGCAGGCACATGTTATAGAGGAAACATTAGGTATCAACGAAATAGTAATAGCTACTAATTTAGCTGGCAGGGGAACAGATTTTAAAACTACCAAGAAATTGGAACAAAATGGAGGATTACATGTTATAGAAGCTTTCTTACCGTGTAACAAAAGGGTAGAAGATCAGGGATTTGGTAGGACGGCTAGACAGGGTAATGCCGGTACAGGGCAGATTATTGCAAAAATGAGTGAAGTAAAAGAATTAAGTATTGTAATAGATACCGAAAATGTAGATTTTGATCAAGTCCTCAACCAAAGAGATGAGCTAGAAGCAGCACGTATTGAGGACATTAAGGAAAATAAGATAACGGAATTGAAATTTAAGGATCTATTATTTGAGAAGTTCTCATCACAATATGCGAGATTAAAGAATGAGCATAAAACGGGAGCAGATGTCATAAAATGGATATACGTGCTCAGAGATCTTAAAGAAAAATGGGCATTTTGGTTAGAAAAACAAGCATATACGGCGGAAACAATTAAAAAATTTGGGGAGTTCAGTTTAGAAGTAGTAGAAAAGGAATATAACAAATTCTTAAATGAGGCAAAAGATATAATTAACGGGGCCATAAAGCATAATCCTTTTTATAGTATTTGTTTGGCTGAACGATATTTGGAAGTAGGAGTAGACAAAGCAAATAGGAACAAAGCTAGAGCAGAACTTGAAAATACTATTAGGATAAGTGAAAATAGTGAGTTACTTTATTCAGCCTATACCAAACTATTTGAGTTAGCAATAGAGGATGGTGGACAAGTTTTAGAAAGATATAAGAAAGCAGTAGCCAAAATATTCTTTTATCCTCTAGATACAGGTAAACCAGAATATAAAAATATAGCTAAAGACAATCTTTTAAAAGCACAAAAAGCGTTAGCTATAGAATACGACTACTTAGATGAATTAATAAACGGTAAAAAAATAGATGCTGGTAATGATGATAATCGAGCAGAACCAATTTTGGGATCAATATTAGTTAGCAGTAATCAAAGTCAAGTACACACTGAGGTTAGCAAAGAAGAACAAAATAGTGCAGACACAGTGACGATGATGACAACAGCCAGTCAAGGTACTCAAGCTGGGAATGGAAAAGAAGCTCATGATCAAAGTGCAAGCAAATCCTTACATAATACGAACCAAAAGCCTAACGAAAGTGAGACACATAATCTGTTTGTAAAACATTTACAAGCAAGATTTATATCTTTGGGTGCTTATAAGGGGAATATAGACAGCCTAATAAAGCAGCTAAATGGAGAAAATGAATTTGAAAAGCCCAAGGAGGCTCTTGGCTCTACCGACGGCATTATCATGGGTACTAAAGTACCAAGATATTTAAGTAAATTGGATCGTGAAAATAAGCTTAAAAAGGTTATAACTGATAGATCTGTCGATGAGCTTGAGTATGTCGGTATGAATTCAGTCTACCAGCTAAAGAAAATACATGATGTTCCTTCCACAGTAATAGAAGGTGCTCAGTGGCAGATAGGTGGAGCATTTGCATTATTGGCATCTGCAGCAGCATTTCCGGTATTATTACCGGTAAATGGTCCGCTTGCTGGAGCTATGGTTTCAGAGGGTATAACTGACATAGTGATGGCATTAATAGATCAAGGGAACTCTGCTTTTAATAAGAAGGATTATATAAAAGGAAAAGTAATCAGCTATGGAATATCTATAGCTACCATGGGTATAGGTGCTATGCTAAGTAGCACTAAACTTTTAACTAAAGCTACGAATGCTTGTCGAAGTTTAGCAACAAAATTAAGAGCAGTTGAAGGACCTTTTGCCAAAGTATGCCAGTGGTTAGCCGGAAAGCTAGATAAATTGGCATTGTATTTAGAATGTACCATAGAAAAGATAGAATTTATGAGAAAAACGGCTGTGGAACAAGCTAAACATTTATCTCAGTTAAAAGATTGTAGAAAACTTGGAGAATTTCAAAAATTACAAAAATTGCTAAAGGTTTCTGATGTAGCAATGATACATGGTCAGAGAGTTACTCAAATTTTAACAGCATCTGCAGTTGGTGCATTAAAAGGTGTAGCGATTTCTGTATGCATGGAAAAAATATTTACTGCTGGTTTAAATAGATTAATGTCTGAATTAAAACCAGTAATAAAAGATAAAGTTAAGACTACCATTAAGGCAAGAGTTATTTCTGCATATCAAAGAGGTGACTTTAATCGTCTATCGAATCAAGAGATCAGTAATGCCATTACACAATTATTTGAAACTAGTTTAGGGGAGAATATAGAACAGATTGCCAAGGAAATTGCTCTTGGAGTACTTAGGCATTGCAATAATTGGAAAGCACAGTTAGCTACTCTTGCATTTGAGTCGTTATTATCTGGTATCGATATTGCCAGATACCCCAATAAGATATGCGATAAATTTGATGAATTTGTTAAAGCTCTGAGTAAGCCTACTAGTTCTGTTATTAAAAACCAGCATGGTACAGAGGTTATTGATAGTATTGTAAACCAGATCAGTGAACCAGTATCAGATATATTGTATTCTAAAATAGTTGCAATTACTGGAAAAGTAGTAGTTACACTGCCTAAAGCCTTATATAGAGGTTATGAAAAGCATCAAGAGAAAAAAGCTGATGAAAAGGCTGTTAAGGATATCAAGGGAAAACTTAATATGATAGATGCTACGGATAATGAAGCACAGCAAGCAAATACAAGATGTGTACATGATGCCGTAGCTAATACATTAGGATTAGATAATAGTAAACAACTTGCTGATGCTACAAATCTAGTTGCATCAGGAGATGGGGCAAGCATTGAAGATACAAAACAACTATTTATACAAAATGGAATAGAAGTTACTTCTTGCGACACAAAAGATGCACAATCACAATTTAAAAATCAAGGTTCAGATAGAGGAGTAGTATGCCTAAGAAGAGGTGATCATGGTCATGCGCTACCTGTTACCATGGAAGATAATTGCCTTATGGTGACAGAAGGTGGACAAAAAATATCTTTAGATCAATATAAACAAAATCACGGTTATACCAACGTAGAGTTTATAATACCAAAAGGTGTCAATACCTCAACTTTGCAAGCTATTCAACACAAATGTAATCTAAACCGGATTGTAAAAGCCACCCATCCGATTGATTATGTTGGACAAGATGGTAAGATAAAGTATGGGGCTTACTTTATCTCTGATAGCACAGATCCCAACGAAATTGGAAAAATGAAAGGCTATGCCTCAACACGCTTTTTATTCAATGCCGTGGAACAGAGTCAACTCAATGCGGGGGCTAATCCAGCACATACCCTCTGTTCTCATGTAGGTCCAGTTAAAAAGAAAACATCATTTAAAGATAAAGACACGCTATTTAAGGCATATGATGAGGTGAGGTTCAAACAGCCAAGCTCCAGAATTTTGAGCACCACCTTTCAGAATATGCCAGGGGATAAAGGAGAAAGAAAAATAACTATCGCGGAGGTATCACAGTTTAATGGTTATGATGTTAATGAGCAGAACTGTAAATTTAGATACATTACAATTATCGAGGACAAGCCTCACGGGAGAACTCAATTTTTGCCCCAGACTGTTTATCCTTGTAGTCGCCCACAACAGAACCTAAACACTAAACAACAGGGTCTAAACACAAAAAACTTAGCCACTCTCAAAGGAATCTCTCCATCCTTCTACGAATATACCATGAAGGGAATAAACAATATACTAAGCTTAAGAACTCGCAGTCAGAAACTCAAGAATGTCATAATCTTACCAGAGCAATATATCTTTAGCTCCACACAGAATAATATCATAGATATATTCTCATCTGTAATAGGTATGAATAATATATACAATAACAGAAAAACTATCTTAGCTCTAATTAGCCTATACAATAAGCATGCAGTTGGTATTATGTTTGTAAGTCAGGAAACTCAGGATAGTCAAAACTTTAACATTATAAAAGCATTTTATATAGATCCATCTAATGAGCCTATACCTGAAGGTTTAAAAACAATCTTTAGCTCTAATGGCTACACACTAGAACAGCTTCCAGCAGAGCTTCAGCGCTACACCAACTGCGGCCCTGAAGTCATTGAGAATTTCATGCTTTACTTAGCAGGTGAGCGTCTATCTCAGGAGGATGCAATAGTATATAATTCAAGGTTAGTTGAGCAAGAACTGTTATCAGATGCAACTAAAGATACCAAAAATATCATAACTTTTGATTTACCATCACTTAACTATAGTAAGACAAATCTAGAACATAAATATACAGAACTGATTCAGGAATCAACGCAACCTATTATTAAAGATAGAGAAACTAGAGATAATATTATGCATCAACGTTACTTTGTACATGCAATTTCTAATCAACTTGCGAATGAATACTTAGCTAATGAACAACTAGCAACCAAACAAGTAACTACTTTAACCACAAAAGAGCAAGAAGCTACTAATACTACTATTACTGATGAAGCGATTCAAATACTAAATCTAGGAGAAGATACAGCAATAACTACAACGAATCAAACAACTATTCAAAATAGTTGTAATCCATTAAGTAAATCAGGATTACATCTCTACATAATAGCTAATCAACTTAGCAACGAAGCCTGGAATCTTGAAAGTGAAGATAATACAGAAAGTGCTGAAGATTCAACAATAATAGCAGCAGAGCAATTCACTAAATCCTTAGAACTCTATAGAGAAGCTTTAGAAATAGAACCAGAAAACAGACTCTATCAACAAGCATTTAATATTATCAGCTTAAAAATAGATGGTAATAATCTATTCAATGAGGGAGTAACACTAACTGATATTGCCTATCAGTTACAACTTGCTCTACATTCTGAGGATGGTAAGGCAAATCAGTTAAAGGTGTTAGAACGACAACAAGCATTGGTGGGCAAGTATCAAGATGTTCTTAATGCTTATCAAGAAGCTCAGGATAGATTTCATCAAGGCTTTGTTTTGAGTCAAGACCAAAGGTTCCAGTCGTGTATTGATATAGTTCAGGATTCTATAGAATTAATTCAAGAACATATTCAAGAGATTCAATGGGAAGTTGATAATACATCGAGGCGAGAAGATGTTATTGCAGGCACGAATAATTATTTAGCAATAGAACCTATTGAGTTATTTAAGCAAGATAAGCAAGACTATCTATTAAATGATTACCTAATAGGTAATTCTCAAGAACTCTTCTATATGTAAAATATTTGGGTAAAAATAATAGTTGATAATTAAGTATTCTAAATGAAAAGACATCTAGCAAAAAATTTAAAAAGTCAAATTAAACGGTCTTCTGAAAAAATCAAATCCACATTTCAAGAAAAATTGCAAGAGATTATGGACTTTGATGTTCAAACTCATCAGGAGGAAATTAGCAAATATATTATAGAGTTACAAAGAAAAATAGACTTAGAAGATTCAACAGAATTAACAGATGGAATAACAAATATTAAGCATCCTATTGAGGTAAGCATTGATAAAGTTAATAATTTAAGTAACCTAGTACAAGATTTATCATTCTCTCATCCTGTTCTTTTTAGTCAATTTAGCAAATTTTGTCAGCATTTTTATAAATTAGGCTTAAACAAAGATACTACTCAACAAACTAAAATATTAACTGAAATAGCTAATACTTTAGAACTTGATCCCATTAAATTAGAATTATGGTTGACTAATCTTGCATCTCAGCAAAAACAAGAGATAGATACCACAAACAGTAATGATCTCAGTTCAAGTAATAACATTTTTAATAAAGTTATTGCAATAAAGGAGCCCGTTCCTAAAAATATTGAGACAATAGTTTTCCCAAAGGTAATCCATAATAAAACAGATCCAGTAGTTAAACCGTTAGAAAAATTATTATCAGAAATAATTTTTACTAAAGGTATTGATGATAATAGTAGAATTAGCAGTGATAAAACCAAAATATCTCAATTACAAGAAAAATATAATAGAATAATCGAATATTATAAGAAATGGGAAAATAAATGGGCTAAAGAGATTCATGAGTGGGCTAGTAGTAAGAAAAATAAACTTAATGAGGAGGATATTTGTGAAACAATAGCTATAATGGATAGAGCTAATGAGTTAGTAACTGGAGGACATCGTCTGAGAGATACCCAAATATTAGCAGTTTTAGTTTTTTTAAATACTGAAGATAGCAAAGGCAAGTTATGTCAAATTCAGACAGGTGAAGGTAAAACTACAATAGTATCATTAGTTGCTGTACTTAAATGTCTACAAGGTGAAAAGGTAGATGTTATAACTAGTAACAATATTTTAGCTGCAGAAGGAGTAACAGCCAAAGAAGATTTTTATAGTTTATTTGGTCTTAGTGTGGCAACTAACAATCCTGATAACAATTATAGTAATAATGATATTGCTGATGATAGTAACAACAACGTAAAAACTACATACGGACCAAGAGCATGCTATAAAGCAGATATTGTTTATGGTTCTATCAGTAACTTTCAATTTGATTACTTGAAAGATTCTTTTTTAGGGTATGGAACTCGTGCAGGTCGAGAATTTTGCACCGTCATACTAGATGAAGCCGATAGTATGCTGGTAGATAATGGTAGGCATATTGCTAAACTGGCAAATCCTTTTCCTGGTATGGAAAGTCTGAGATATGTATATATCAAAATTTGGCAGGAACTACATAAAGCCGAACAAGAGCTTACAAGTGAACCATTGATCACTGGCGTTAATAGAATAGCAATCATTAAAGATAAAATAAAAGCTTCTAACCCTATAGATACCATTGTAATACCAAAATATCTCAAAACCTATGCAGTAAAACAATTAGATAAATGGATTGAGAATGCCTTATATGCAAAATATGCTTGCCATGAGAATCAACAATATATTATCAAGTTTAAAAATGGTGAAGGGACAATTATTCCTCTTGATTACCTAAATACAGGAGTAAATCTCAATAATACCGTTTGGCCTTATGGCTTACATCAATTTTTACAATTAAAGCATAATTTACATTTAACAACTGAAACCCTTACTAATTCTCATGTATCAAATATGCATTACATTAAAAAATATGGTAATAACATATTTGGTATGACAGGTACTTTAGGCTCAAACATTGAGAAATTTTTATTATCTAAAATATATAATGTAGATCATGGTGAAATTCCTACTTATAAAGAAAAAAGATTTACAGAATTACCTGGAGTAATAGTTCAAGATAGTAATTGGCTTGATAGTATTATTCTTGAAATACTAGAACAAACTAACCTAAATAAAGCTGTATTGATTATTTGTGAAACTATTCAAGATGTCAAAATAATAAAACAAAATTTAGAATTATTCAAAAGTTTAGATCAAAATAATCTAGACACCGATACTATTAATACAATTAAAACTTATGTTGATGAAGATGATGCAAAAATTACTAAAGTTAAAATAAATTCTCGAGAGATAATCATAGCAACCAATATAGCTGGCCGAGGAACAGATTTAGAAATAACTGAAGGATTAAAACAATATGGAGGATTACATGTTTGTATTAGTTTTCTTCCCTCTAACCAAAGAGTAGAAGATCAAGCATTCGGACGTACAGCTAGGCAAGGTGATCCTGGCAGTGGACGATTAATTATTAGAGAAAGTGAGATTAAAAAATTAGGGATAATCACACTATTAGAAGACCTTAAAATTGATGAAGTAAAAGAATTTAGAAATGCAGTAGAAAAACTAAGAGTACAGAATATTTTAGATACAGTAGTAGAGCTTGATCTTCAAGATGAATTATTTCAATGCTTCTCTAATTTGTGTCAAGAATTACAACAAAAGAATAAACATATTGAAGGATTTCATTTTGTCTTAGAAGATCTAAAAGAATATTGGGCTTTTTGGTTAGAACAACAAGAGCTTAAAATCACCAACTTTCCTCAGTTAGAAACAATCACACAAGAAGAAAAGTTAAAGCAAAAATCCCAATATTCTCCTCTCAAGGCTTTAGCAGAGCAAATATTTGCAAGATTTACAGAAGAAGCAAAGATACTGATAGAAAGCAAAAAAATTGATAAAGATGGAATAGAAACTGACTGTGGCATAGTAGAGAGAATCATTCACAATCCTTATCATAGTATTAAACAAGCTGAGTATTTCATAGAGAAAAATAATTTACGCAATAATAAATTATCTAAGGCTATGGATGCATTAAAACAGGCTATTTTTCTAAGCGGTAGCACAATAGAAACGTTACCTAGTATCTATATATCACTCTTTGAAGTGGAGATAGAAAATAGTTGGTATTTAATAAGGAAGTTTAACTCAATATTTACTGCTATAACTCAAGGGATGTTCATAATTAAAGAGCCAGAATCATTCATACACAAGGCAAATTATAAAGATGTAGCTAGAGAGTACCTTAAAAAAGCAAAAGGATTCTTAGAGAAAGAAATCAATTACCTACAAGAGTTCTTTAAAGACAAGAATGATTTAATATTATTATCTGAATCTTCTAAAGATAGTAATCAAGATATGCTGAAGCAAAGTAGCCTAAAAGCCTCAATAGTGTATAGAACTACAGATAAAAAGAATTTTTACCTTAAGTCAAAAGAATCTGATCAATTGGAAGTTATTTATAAGATACATGATATAATAGAGCTAGAAGAATTTTTAAATAAATGCCAAGACAACATCGATAATAATCCCATTCGTATTCAATACTATAATAAGAGAAATAATAAACAAAATATAAAGGACATAGATAATGTTATAAACATTTATCTATTAAAAGATAATGATCATATAATCATATTATATGATGACCCTTTAGGTGATAAGATGGCATATAATATAAAATGGTTGCTTACAAAATATTGTTATAACCAACAAAAACAAGTAGATCAGTTGGCTCCAATAGAACAAATAGCTAAAATGTTATTTCTTGAAAAAGAAGGTGCTATTGCACCAATAGAAAGAAACTCTAAAAAAGAAGATGTTACTCATAGTGAAAATACAAAAACTAATCAAGAGGAATTGTTACAAAGGAACTTGTTATTAAAACATTTATACTCTAAATTAATATGTTTAAAAATTCAGCAAAACAATATAGACGAACTCATGAAGGTTCTAAGCAGTAATGTTCCAGGGGAAGTGGTGATTAGTAGTAGAAGCTCTAAATATTTCCAAGAAATTGATCCTAACAAAGAAGTGATTACTAGTTTTGAAATTACGGAATCAGAGCACATTGGTTTAGGAAATATATATGGGTTAAACATCATATCAGAACATATTACCAAAACATTTTCAAATGTAGAGAAACAAGTAAGTAGTGGTTTATCTTTGCTTAAAACTGGACAAGACTTTCCTTTTTTATCTCTTCTCATGAAACAAGTTTCTTATATATTAATAGCAGAAGGAATATCTGATCTAACAAGTGAATTGATAAAACATAGAGAGACAACCTCACCTTATAATCAGTTTCTATATCTTAAGGATAAAATAATCATTAAGAGTAGTAGTTTAATTGACGAAATACTCCCCATCTTTATTGAGCAGATTCTGCAATATACTATTAAAGTTTATCAAGAATTTGTTACACCAGAAGAGTTACCTTCTATGGTAAGTTATGAAGAAATCCATAACCAAGAAGCTGCTGTAATTATACAGCTTTCAGACCAAATTAACGAAAAGAAATACTATGATTTTCCAAAAAATGAAATAGGAGACACAATTTGTGTCAGATATCAAGTTCAAGATATAGCATTGGCTGGATGTGATGAAATTACGTAGGCACTTACAACTCATATTCATATAATGTAAGCGTTTGAATAATTAATAATTTTATGTCTAGAGTGGTTCTGAAATTGTCCACTACAGCCCGCCACTTAGAATAAGTTGTAGTCCTTGCAAAAAATCGAACAGGAGACGTAGGATAGATTCAAGTTTTCTCCCCCTCAAGTAAAGATTCTGAAATAAAATGCTATACTGTAATTATAAAATTTACTATACTTATAGTCAGAAAGAAATAATTATTGATTTATAGAAATTAGATCAAGTTTTTATATATATTACATATCGTCATTAATTTGATTAACTACTAAAGAAGGAAAACATGCCTAATGTTTTAACAGATTATTTAAGAAATATAAAATTATTCCCTTTACCTAAAGGCCAAAGTGCCGAAGATACGAACCCTCAGCCAGGGAAATGTAATAATTTTAATTATAGAAAGAATGATGGTCAGCCGATATACATAATGCAACACCATACAGTAGTTGATTTTGATCAAACAATAAGACTCTTTACTGAAGGAAAAGTATCAGCGCATTATGTAATAAAAAAAGATGGTACTATACAAGAATTAGTATCACCAGAATATAGAGCCTATCATGCTGGACTTGGTAATTTAGCTGAAAAATCTAGATTATTAGGGTCTATTCAATATGATGTTTTAAAAAATGATATGAATAGTTGGTCTATAGGTATTGAGAATGTTAATAATGGCAATGAAGAATTTACAGCAGAACAAATAAAGTCTAATATATTATTGTGTCAAAAATTATATGATGATAATCCTACTTCTATAAATCTTAAGTATATGTTAGCCCATAGTGACTGGACTAAAGGAAGGAAAATAGATCCTAGCCCATTTTTTGACTGGGAGGCATTTGCAAATGCTAGTGAATTATTCCCTGATGAAGTAACAAAAAATTTTGGCATATATCCAAGGAAAAGAGACCTAAATCTAAAATCAGATCCAGAAGTAGTTTTAACTTATGAAAAATGGTGTAAAGGTGTAGTTGTAAATGATGATGTGGTATTATACTATCAATCATTTTTAAAAGAGTACTGTTATGATATTCCAGATAATGAAATAGGATGTGTTGGAACAAAAACTCAACAAGCTATGTTAGCATACCGTATTCATTTTGCTGGACCAGAAATGCTGAAACATAACTTTACAAAACAAGCATGGTCTAATTTATGTGAAGATGATCAAAATTACTCTGCTAGAGCTGCATTAACTCAATTAGATGAGAATGATATAATATGTTTAGGAGATCTTATAGACCAATTCTAATTACTTTATTTTATTATAAAAATAGTAGTAATATTTCTGCAGTAGTGGAACAAACTCATAGATTTATTAAGAAACAAGTTATGACAATGCTCGACTTTAAAGATTATTTTGTGTCTACCTTGCAAAACTACTACAATCCAAATCCTATACGTAACAAAATTCTTCAACTTTGCTCTATCTGCTTTGTTAAAGTAGAGATAAGCTCATTTAATATTTTTTACAATATTACTTAATAGCTCAATTTGATCTAATTTTTCCCAAGAAAACAATTGATCATCCCTTCCAAAATGCCCATATGCAGCTGTTTTTTGGTAACAAGGAGTATTAAGTTTGAGTTGCTTAATGATTTTTCCTGGTCTTAAATCAAAATTTTCCTTTATTATTTGAATAATATAATCATCACTCAATATAGCAGTATTAAAAGTATCAATATTGATAGAAACTGGTGTTGCCACGCCAATTACATAAGCAATTTGTATTTCACAGCGATCTGCAATACCAGCTCCTACAATATTTTTTGCAATATAACGAGCCATATACGCACCTGCACGATCTATTTTTGTTGGATCTTTACCAGAAAAACACCCACCTCCATTTCTAGCCATACCACCATAACTATCTACCATAATTTTTCTACCAGTAAGGCCACAATCAGCTATAGGACCACCTATAATGAATTTACCCGTAGGATTAATAAAATATTTTGATTCTCATTAAGCCATTCTCTTGGTAAAACTGACTTGATAATTTCTTCTATTACAATTTCTACTAATTGAGCATGAGATATATCTTTATGATGTTGGGTTGAAAGAACTACTGCATCAATAGCAACAGGTTTATTATTTTTATACCTTAAGGTAATTTGAGATTTCGCATCAGGCCCAAGCCACGATAATATACCTTGTTTACGCAAAAAAGCTTGTCTTTCAACTAACTTATGAGCATAATACCATTTCCCTAATATAATTAGATATATGAGCAATTACATAGAGATTTTATAGTTTTTACTGAAATAGATTGAATAAAAGAACTGGTTTAACCGCAAGATAAAAAATCAATAACCAATCCATCCTTTCATATAATACAGCTAAATTCACAAAGCTTCAGACAAGATGAATTTGAGACTACCCTTGTGCAGCGAATAGTACGTGAGCAAAGGTGAATGGCAAAAATTTGCTTGTATCAAGCTTTATGAATGACGCCGTACTCTTATAATTATTAGTTATTCTTTACCACTCTTCTTATACCATTTCCCTAATATAATTAGATATATGAGCAATTACATAGAGATTTTATAGTTTTTACTGAAATAGATTGAATAAATTCAACTACGGCACATTCAAGTTTAGTTAAACAATCGTAAACTTTGTTTTTCAGCACAGCATCTTTTAAATGTTGCCACAACCTCTCTACAGGATTTAATTCTGGACTATATGGTGGTAAGTACATAACCTCGATATTATCTGGTATTGTAAGACCTTTATGCCATCCATCTCCATCCATCACTAATATAACTTTTGTGGTTATATGTTTTGCAAACTTATTAAGAAAAACTTGCATAC